CCCCCCGCCACACGCACACACAAACACATACATCAATAACAATACAATAATATCTTATGTATCTGTGCTCAGCTCTCGCTCCCATCTTGTGCTAATGATCACTGTGGAGGGAGAGGACAAAGTGACGGGCGCCATCTCCAAGGGTGTCCTCACTCTGTGTGATCTGGCAGGATCTGAGAGGATCAGCAAGACAGAGGCCTCAGGGCAGAGGTTGGTGGAAGCCGCCGCAATCAACAAGTCACTCTCTGCCCTTGGTCAGGTCAGTCATATGTGTAGTACTATTTGTAAAAAAAACCCAAGTTAATTAACATTCTGGTCACCTGGCGCAATAATGCGCCAGGCCCAAGAAGTTGGTTGCAGTCGCTCTCCTGGCTGAGTGACCGGATTGGGTATTTTGTACTGCTGGCTGTGTGACTGGAAAGTATTAAATAGCGGTATGAATTCAACGCTCTTATCAACACAATTAGGTTATTTTAGAGGCAGACCTAATTATACTTCCATCCACGATAGGACAGAGCCAAAATGGTTCAGAGCCTTGAAAACTCCACAAAATATTCAAGTTCATGAACGATCCAAAGCCATTAGTTCCGTAGTCCAGCATAATACCAACTGAGCTAGTGGAACATTTTATTATTTGATTTAATGGCTATTATTGTTACATGTATTATTATTGTCATTGTTATTATTATTATTATTATCATTATTATTATTATGGGTTCTTTTTTCACAACCGTTGTTCTTTTTTTTTTTTTATCTGTTTGCTCAAATTTACAGTTTTAATATTCTATTTTTTAGGTTTTCTCAGCTCTGAGGGAAAGTCAACTTCACGTACCCTACCGTAATTCTAAGCTGACCCAGATTCTGAGGCCTTGCCTTGGTGGTGATGCTAAAGTGAGTTTCTTGTTTCATTGTGCACTTGTTTCATCTTTTCTTGGTCATAAATGGTGTTGCACGTAATTCCTATTATTAAAATTGTCATTTATACAAACTATACGTCTTGTAGATGGTAAGTCAGTGCTCTTACATTGGATTACTCTTTTTTCTTTTAGTCATTATAGATTGAAACATGTGTGGAGCTTGCTGTTGAGTAGGAATTTATGCTATACAAATGCTATTTTTATTAATTATTATTTTTATTATTGCATCTATAAATGATAATTGTCCTAAACTGTTTCAAGTGGCCCTTCTTGTGTTCCCTGGCACTATAAACTACGACATTCAACTACTGTACTTTTTTAAATTATTTATTACACTCAGTTTGCTTTTCTCATTACGTGCATAATATATAAAATCTGATGTTTTGCATTTATCGTCTTCTTTAAATCCTTGAATTTGGATTGCAAGCCTTGATTCACTACGGCCTTACATAAAGTCATATGGGTATATCTCTTGCTTCTGAAATAGTCAAATATGATCTCAATAAGATATGTGCTTTGTGTTTGCATTAGTATGAGTTTAAAATTTTACTTGATAGAAATAGATCTTGAAGAATGCTAAACACTTGACACAGTAAAGAATGAATCAGGAAAGAAAGAAGGAAGAGATGGTGCGCAAAGTAAAAATCACGACATGTTATGTACATTATCTGACCCAGTATATTTCTGTGTTTTGTTCCGTTTGATCAATAGAAGAGAATGCCTATCCTACTTGTAAGCAGGTACATTTCTGTTAATTAAGCTCCAACAGTCTAGCTGGGAAAGGGAAAAAGGAGTGGGGAGGGGGGGGGGGTGGAAGTGGAAGGAGGAGGTGGGGTAAAAGGTGTTTATTTAGTACAATATCATGACATGATATAAATTTTTCTCCCAGACTTCAGAGTTTCGTTTTTTGTCTTTTTCTTCAATCAAATCTAGATTTCCTTATTAATTTTCTATACTCTCTGTTTTTTCAGGCCTGTCTCTTTGTGAACATAAGCCCTGATGTCAGGAATTACCCGGAGACATGTAACACTCTGGAGTTTGGAAGCAACGCACGGCAAGTCGCTCTCGGACAGGCCAAACAGAACATTCAGCGCAAACCTGGAGGCTTCCCGCCAAGATAGAGGACACCGCCCGTGAGATGAAAATCCTACAGATAGTTACACCCTGAGCCTTAGCACGATACAATAAGAAATAGAAAAAAAAGAGGGAACCACATAAGAAGCATTACAGACTTAGAGCACTCCCCCAACCCCCACCTTCTTTCCCAGTTTTGTTAAAATGTTAATGTAAAACCATAGCCATAAACTTGCAGTACTTTTTTCCCCCAAAGTTTTGTTAAAACCTAAATGTTTAGAACAATGGTCATGATATGTCTTCTGGGGAGAGGTTGGATATTAGCTCTGATTTGTAAATTAGAATCACTGAATTCAGTTCATTTACACAGGAAACATTGCAGACTTTCTGTACTTTTCCCCCACAATTTTGTTGAAATGTGGCCATTAAATGTTGTAGGGTTTTTGCTTGTTTGTGTGGGGGTTTTTCTTTTTTTTTTGAGGGGGGAAACGAGGAGGGGGGAAGGAGGATTTTTTAGCTTTGAGTTTGTTCATTAAAGTTGTTGCATCCTGAGAATGCCCACACTTTGCTGTTTGGGATGTGTAGGCAAATGGCTCATGGGCTGTCAGGGTCCATCTTTTGATAGTCAGTAAAGATAACGTTACCCTCTATTGTAAATACAGCTATTAGTCTCGGCATGTTAAATTGTAAGTATTTTAATTATCTGTATTGGTGTCATCTTAAACTTTAATGACATCAGTTGTGACACCTTCATGTTATCTCTGGAAACTGCTTTTTGTTTTACCTCATTGTTGCCAAAAGTTTTGTTTATTTTGGCCCTGTTTATGCATTGCAAACAATTGTTGTGTCTACAGTTATTACTAAATAAACAAAAAAAATGCACATGTTTATGTAATGCTTATGCAAAGCTGTCCTCATCATTTGCACATGTTGTATCTCTACTGTAGTTTGCTCTGTTGAAATTTCTGCACAAATTCAGTAATGGGAATTGAGGATTTCACAATTCATATCAGTCTGCATCTATTTAGCTGTCATACTTGCAAAAAAGTCTTTTAAAAAATTCTTAACAGTCCTGGAGTTTGACCATTTGTACTTTGTGAGTTTTCCTCACTCCAGCTTGATACAGTTAAAGGGTATCATCATATAAATGTGTATTCATCGGTGAACTCCAACATTTTTTTAAACCTTTATTTTAATGAATAGAAATGCTTGAAAAATCAACCTAAAATAGGAGTTGAAGTGGTCTTTAATTAATTAACAGCCTCCAGACTTTTTACATGTTGGAACTTTTCCCCCTCTGCCTGTAATGATCAACCCAAGATTGTCTGTAGCCTGGCAGGAAAGGAGTAAAGGTCCAGCCTACTATGTTGTAAGAGAACTATATATTTTATGGATTCAGTTTGAGCAAAGTGGAAAGCAACCTTTTGTGTGAAAACTGATTTAGTGGGATTTTCTAAATGCTAATAAGTTGAATTCATGACCAGTTTGTGCATTGCATGTATTGTAAATTCTAGAGTGGTAAACCTCTCAGCCTTTTTCTCCGTCCAGACTTTTTCTATATTTGATATGAACTGTCCTTTAAGTACTTTGTTCCAGGGATTGCTGTACGATTTATATGATTGTTTATGTATACAAACTTTTATTCTCTATAGATAAGATTCTTTGAATAATCTGTGATATGTGCTCAGAATGACTTTTCTTTACTCTGGTGCAATTCATGTTGTTATATGCCGTTTAAACTTCAGTTATACTATTTAAGAACTTAATTTATCCTTTGGGTAATTCATGAAGCTGTTCTCATGTTTTTGTGCGCTCAGTTGAAGAATGTCAAGCAGAGAGGAAATGTCCAATTTCAGGTGTACTTTTGTTAAACTCATTTTCCCTGCACAAACATTTGAAAAATAACCTAACCAATTTGTTTCCTGCTTCTACTCTTATGAAGTAAAGAGTTATGGTTAATGCTCAGAATACTGTAATGTTTTAAGTTTACAATTCTCTCATAGACAACTGTAAACTTTACAATGAGAGGCCTATGTACAGGCTTTGATAAACGTTAAAAAAAAAAATCTAGACAAAGAATTCAGATAGTGTATTTGGTTGACAGCTTTGTAGGTCTTCTTGACTTTCAAGTTTGTGCCTTGTGTTGGTTTCTTTTCCCCTGAGATTGCTTCGTGACCTGTTTCATTTTGATATCACAGAAATTCCTTCTTCGATTTCCTGTGAATTTTGGTATATTATTGGTAATACACGACTTACAAACTTCTCTGGATTCTTTGTCCAGAAAAGGAAGAGACAGACAATATTATTCTACAAAACCAAGAAAAGCTGGAATTTGGTTTAAAAGAAGTGACACCATTAGTGCACTGAGTTAAAAGGATTTTTCAATGTGGATCTCTTTAGGCTTATGCTCCAGACAATACATTTATCTTTCTTAATTAAAATTGTTTTATTTCTAAGAAATAAAACACTCTTTTATATTCTACATTTTTATTTCCAAAGAATTAAACTGTTTCTCAGGCCAAGACAGCATGACAGTTTCGTTAAAAGTTTTGATATGAATAATGTGGAACAAATCTCTTCCGAGATTCTCAACCGGGTCATCACATTGTGCAAAAAAAGATTAAAAGACTGCCTTCTTTATTTCTCTTCTATCAAGTGGCTAATACATGTCAAAGGTATGGATGCTCTTGCACTATAGGTTTCTTATGACTGGATCTTTGTTTATGTTGCGTCCCTAAATGATACTTCTTACTTATTCCAATGTTTTTTTCTCCAATGGCAGTCTATCTTACTGAGATTTATTATTTACTCTCAAACTGCTGATGTTAATATTACAATACTATTTATTGCAATTGGTTTTTTAAACTATGGCATATAATATAGGCTATTTATTGTCAAATGCTTGTCATGGGTAGTGTACATATGTTTTTTGTTTGATTTTTCAAAAGATAAAATATACACCCCATATGTTATATTATACACTTTTAAGATTTACCTCTGTGGTTACTGATAAGCTGTTCTTAAACATTTTTTAATGTGTAGATCTATATGTGCTTTTAACCAACCATTCTTACGCTGCCCTCTCTTCTTCCAAAAAAGACAAAAAGATAAAACCCAAAAATCGAACAAACCAACCAGAAAGACAAATTTTTTTTAAAAAGCAGCAAGAAATACTAAAAAAAAACAAGTTTAACCCAATAAAAACTGTAAAGTCCCTTTTTATCCAAACTATCAAAGCAACATTGAAGGTAACATATATGATGCCAAAAGATATCTTTGGAACCCTCAGAAGGGTACAAAATTTAGTTTTAACTTTTGAATGATCAGACCTATTCTTTTCTTTAAATGCGATTTATTATAACCACCCTACCTTCTGAATTCTGAAAAAGGTAAGAAGGGACGTTATTTTTTTCCATTGGTTGAAGCAGGATGAAAACTGAAAAAAATTTTCAGTACGTTAACTCGTCTGTTTCTTACCATGTGTTTATAGATTGTTCATGGCACACAAGCCAATTTTTACATCAGCCTTACACTTTGACACAATTAATACAGGAAGTTTTTTTTTAAATCACAGTACAAGAAGTAATGAAATAAAGCAATTTAACTCTTTGAGGATATGCATTCTGACCATTCAACAAATCATGAAAACGCTCATGTGTTTTGAGGGATGAAAATAAAAAGCATAATACCTTGATTATTCAAATAGGTTTTTCAATTCTGTTGTCTTTATCTTTATCTGAAACGTGCAACAATGTGAATTCTATGAAATATGCAAATTTGCCTTTCTGATTTGTGTTTAATGGTTTGAAATGTGCAGCTACATTGCCTTTGGTCTTCTGTTGAACAGACTTATAATGTGTCTACTACGTCCTCATACACTGTGTAGTTGGATCTACATTTGTGGCAGGTTAAGATAACTTGAATCTTTTATGAATATGTTGGAACATATTTTTAGCTCAATGTAGGTTGTTTTTTTCCCCTTTTTTTGTTCATATTTGATCCTCTTCTGATAAAATATGCAGTTTTATGGTGAAATGCTGTTGTAATAGCTTTGTTATCTAATATACTGAAGCCTAAGGTATTATTTTTTTTTTTATTGGGAAGACTTGTTGCATACAGGAGAAGTTTTTATCTGACTTCATAATTTTTGTGCAATTATTGGTGACAGCGACATCATTCTTTTGATATTGAGCTTCATTCTGTGCAGTGACACCTGAGAAACACAGTGAAAAAAGTCTATCGATGCTTTGTAGGCAAATTCCCCTCTAAGCGCGTTTCAAAAAGCAAAAGAATCTATGAATGATGTCATTTTTTTTAGGAAATACTAATTTACTAAACTTAATTATAAGATTTTCTCTTTGTCAACGTCTTTAATAAAAAATATTTAAAATTCCACTGTAATTGATTCTCATGGGGAGATCTGGTTTACAATAGCGTTCATACATGATAGATAAATACAATAAATAATACATCAATGTTACTTTTCCTGCCAGATCACATGAACACAAACAGTCAAGGCTCTGTTTCTGGTCGCCACTACGTGCTGCTCCTTGTTCTTGAGCTAGGGTTACAATAATGTATCATGTTTTGCACACGGGCACTCTTAATGAAGTGACTAGCCGCATAAACGCCATGTCAGTGACAAACGCTTGACATTATTATGAGCCTGATCTCTCTAACCATTCTCCTGAATAAAAATTTTCAATTGGAGTATACAACTATTAGATATAACAACATGTTATTGATCTCCACAAAGAGAAAATTGATACGGCATGGTAAATACATACACACGCGCGCGCGCACACTCACACACACACACACACACACACACACTCTCTCTCTCTCTCTCTCTCTCTCTCTCTCTCTCTCTCTCTCTCTCTCACACACACACACACACACACACACTCTCTCTCTCTCTCTCTCTCTCTCTCTCTCTCTCTCTCTCTCTCACACACACACACACACACACACACACACACACACAAACACACACACACACATGATTAGTCACTAGATCCAATGTTATTCTCGAACAGATGGCAGTGAATAAATAGCTCGTATTAATGATAACATGAATGAATTTGTGTACCTTTTGGTTTTTGCTTTAGAAAAAATAAAACGTTTACTTTCAACAGATGAGAGGGCATTACAATGTCTAAATTTTTTGTCCTGTACATGATTGAAGCTTTAACCATTATTCCTGTATCTGTGATAAACTTTACTTTCGAGACCGAGAAGATGAGCTTATATTTTTATTAATGTTTATACTGCAGGCCCTTGCGTTGTTTTTCAACAGGCTACACGCAATGTCATTTTTATTTGCACTCGACAAACATGCAATTATCTGTGAAAGTCTACTTCAGCCCTACGTCATTTAAAATGGTCGTTTTTACTTTTAAGCACAATAGGGGGCTATCACGAAAAATGCTGTTTTGAGAAAATCAAAGGTTTCTTTAAAAGACAAGGAGAGTTTTCTCTATAACCAAACAAATATACACACCAATGAAACCAAACTTCTCTTACAGCTAGGAAAATGCCCACTTTTGGTGTACGTCAAGATTTCTGGAAACCCGCGAAATCTGGGTTAGCCCGCTTCTTGTCCTTAAAAGGATCAAACAACCAAAGACCGTCTTTTGCTCATGACGTCACAACTACCTCCATGATGGTCTCTCCTCAGTGAGAGCGGAGACTCGGATGTGTGTAGTTGGTCACGTAAAAGTTGGGAATGGAGGGCTCGAGTGGACTTTCACACTATAATCTTTGTGCACTCCATGTATAAGTTCTGCAATTGATGTTGTTTTCTCATAGCGTACATGTGTTACAAAATAGAAGAAATACAAAGACTTTCTTGGTAAAAAAAAATGTCGTGAAGTTTTGTTCTTTTAAATAATGTATTTCTATAGATTAGTGCTTGCCAACCTGGGTGACATACAAGGGGCATACCAAAAGTTTTTTACCTGACCATGAAGGAAAAAGGTAGAAAGCTGAAATTTTGGGTGAAAGCCAACAAGTATCTTCCTAGAATGCTTGTAAATTTTGGGGAATTTCAGATTAATGGTTTTACCACCAGCGCACTCTAAGTGAATGGGGGTATGTTGTTCTCCAGTTTCAACATAAAAATGGAGAAAATTGAGCGTAGTTCCATAATGAAGTATTTGTTGTTGCAAGGCAAGCAACAACAGGATAATTTTACCGAGGTGCATGCCGTATATGGATTGCCATCCTATGCTGTGATAGAATTTTGGTGTAAAAAAAGTGATGATGAGGTCAAAAAGCAGTAGAGGGCTGGTTTTCTGACCTAGAGAGAACTCTGGGAGGCGACTACATAAAGAAAGATTAAGCTTAGTACCAAATTTCAGCTTTCTATCTTTTCTCCTTCATGGTCAGGTAAAAAACTTATGGTAGTCCACAAGACCCCCGGGGCGGTGCTACTGACTGAAATGCCTTTATATATAGGCCATTCCCAAAGGGGGGGGGGGGCATTAACATGTTCGTATGTACAGTAGAATTGTAAATGGGCTGATTCATCAATGTCATGCTCATAGCAGTTTACTGTGCCTGAACTGCAACAGGGAACTGCTGCTTTTCTTTCCTAATTCTTACTGTCATCATTTTCCTCTACTTTTTTGTATGCTTGTCACACTCTTGTGACCCGCTATTCCCGTGATGCTTTGACAGTCGAAGCAGACTTTGTGCTGTTGAAGTAATTTCAGTTTGGTAGGAATAAAGTTTAAATTTTCCCCGAGTGGCGGCCGAAGCCTACTCTTTTCCTATTTTGTTTCTGTGTGTCGACCCGTCTTACCTTTTCCTTTCCATAAAAGGCATATGAGACAGAGGTGGGCCGGAAGTGGCTTACATAGATAGGCTGAACAGATTCGAAAGAAAATATCAAAATGATAAGATTATTTTTTAAAGAACATCTACTAAACACAGGGAGCACGAGGTATGGGTAGGCCACGGGAAACATGGAGGAGATGTGTGGAAAGGGACATGAGAAAGATGAAGCTCGCTTGGAAAGAGCTTGGAAGGATGGCCCAGGACTGAGATCAATGAAAGGAGCTTGTTGGCCTATACCCTGCCAGGGGTGAAAGGCATTGATGATGATGACTAAGCGGAGGAATGGGGAGTGAACCATGCTCGGTTCTGCCTGCTTGAGATCTGGCACTTCCGCACCATTCTATTTTCTCTCCATTTTGAGAGTTTTAGCTAGATTTGTACCCGACCTCGTTGTGTTTACACCTAGGACCACCTCTGGTGTTAAGTTGAGGGATTGCAAGATGCACTGGTGGATGGTTGGCTGGTGCTCTGGTATGGTTTGCTTCTTCTTTCTTATCAAACATCTATCGTCATTATCTCTCCTCCTTCTGTTTTGTGTTTGTTACTCTCTTGTAACACATCTAACCTTCGGCACTTATATTACCTTGTTGTGTTGCAAGTGCCGTAAAACTCTACGAAAAAAATGATCAGTTTGATATTAGTTGTTTTTTAAGAACATCTACTTAACAGAGGGAACCATGTACGGCTCTGCCTGCTTGAGATCTGGCACTTTCACACCATTCTATTATCTCTCCACTTTTACAATTCTAGCTAGATTTGTACCCGACCTTGTTGTGTTTACACGTTGGACCACTTTGGGTGTTACGTTGAGGGATTGCAAGATACACCGAAAAAGTAAAAGATAAATATTGTTCAGGAGGTGGGCTGCATCGGTTTTGCCTGTCATGACCAAACGGGGCTGAAAGAAATACAACATCTCAGAAGAAAGACGTATTGGCTTTATTTCATGACATAATGTCTAACATCCATTTCAGCCTCCAAATTTAACGTCCATCTCCAAAAGTACTGATAGACAGAGAAGTTTTTAAAAAATAACCCCCCAAACAACCGGAGTTCCACAAATTGCCATTTGGAATTTGAACTAGGGTTGTCCACATCTCAGAAAAACTGAGCTACATGTACTTAGAGAAAAATAGATTCCCAATAATGGAAGATCAAACTTACTTCTTTTGGATGGAAAAGCTAAGACACTAACCATTACGTCACAGACGAACCAAAAGAGAAACACACACGCACACACACACACACACACACACACACACACACACACACACACACACACACACACACACACAGAGAGAGAGAGAGAGAGAGAGAGAGAGAGAGAGAGAGAGAGAAAGAGAGTGCGAGAGAGAAGGAGATGGTGGTTTGAGGTGGGAAGGGGGGGTCTTGAGTGCTCTGACCTACTCGTGTGTTTTCGTCTATTTCTTGGCTGATAAATTGCAGGTCGAACCTTGAAATATCCCACCGCTCCATTGACCAACCCCCAAAGAAGTGGCTATCAGACTTTTGTTACGAAATTAGACGTCTAAATTTAGTTTATCGCTCCCTTATCACTTCCACCACAGACCTTGGCTAGTCCAAACACGATATGCCGAAAGTGGAAGAGAATAGTTCTGAAGACTCTTGCCCCCCTAGACTGGTCTCCTCTGGCTAGTCAAAATAGCCTGTACCCTAGAGCTGGGCAATGAGTCGCTTCAGCAAAATCCGGAAAATATTTTAGTGCGCCTCTTCGGCTAATAATATGATATGAACAGCTTCGGCAAATGGGTTAGAACCACTTTGACAAACGGGTTATCATCACTTCAACAAATGGGTGCACTCACTTCGGCAGGAAAGAGAGTCAAGAGTCTGAAATCGGATAATGTTTCATTAAGAATTATCCGGTTATCCTTTTGGATTATCCGGATTTTGCCCACCTTAAATTACTCTACCCCCCACTGCAGCCCATCAGCGATGAGACAAGGGGTCGCAAACATTGATGACAACATGCTGGTGATTGAGTGCGGTTTGGTAAGAAGGTACCAGCGTGCACACAGTCCTGTGACTTTTGGGCAACTTTTGACGAAGTTTTGAGGTTGGGCCAAGTTTGTAATTGTTGGGAGGGTAATGTTATGGTAGACAGTTCCCTAGGTTTGGTTTTGTAAGAGATAGATAGATAGATAGAGAGAGAGAGAGAGAGAGAGAGAGAGAGAGAGAGAGAGAGAGAGAGAGAGAGAAAAAGAGAGAGAGAGGGGGGATGGGTGGGGTGTTGGGGGGATCCTGAAGCCATCCTAGAAGGCGTATTTTGTCATGACTTTGTTGATCAGGATCGATACCGACTGTCCGCTAATTCTTACAAAGATTCTATTATGTACAATCTTTGATTCCGACCTTGAAAGACACAAATTCGGTATCATTATGATGAATAAACAAATGGTTATGTAACAATGTGGGCGAACACGGGCCTGCTGTTTTGCACTCTCTCACCCCCCTTTTTTTCCTGAACTATCCAGTGCACAGGCTTCTGTATCACAGCAACACTTCAATTTTCATAATATATATTTTTATCTGTGGTACATAAGAAAATGTTAATATGCTTTTTAAAAAAATACAAGGAAAGTGTGGTGTAAGGTGAAATGTAATTGTAATAGCAAAAATTTTAAGCCCCCATCGACACATCATCATCATCATCATCCAGTGCCAGATCTGCGACAGACATCGGCGATCAGGGTTATCCATTCATTCCTTTGCTCGGATGCTCTAAAAAAAAGCTACGTTTCCCTGATTTTTCCCTGTTACCCATTTGTTTAGGTTCCCTAAGTGTGTTGTCCTGGGCCTACCCCTGCCTTGCTTGCACATTTTAGATAATTTAGGAAGCATGCTGCTTTGACAGTGCCTGTCAAGACCGATCCAGGCTGTAAATGACCGAATTTCCCAGCCCTCAGACGAAAACGTTTACAAGACTCCATCCCACAGGAGAATCAAACTCACATTGTCATCGTCCGACAGCAAAGAGCCAAACCGTCACGTCGCAGACACTGCTAGTGTAAGGTGATAATATCAATAATGACATGATATATATAAATGCATTTATAAAGCGCATATTCACGCTCTGTAGCCTGCTTAGTGCGCTTTACAACTATTATTACCCCAACAGGCCCTTAAACATGGCTCGGAAACATTCTCGGCAGTTATAATACGTGATAGAACACTGACAATCTGACAAGATCTTTGACTGTCTGTTGCCGGGTACCCAATCAAAGGGGTGAAGAAGAATCGTGTCAAGTGCCTTCCCCAAGGACACAACGTCAGGCCCCTGGCGGTAAGGGTTTTCTTATTTAATTGCGACATACAGTAGTAACTTTGTATTCGGTCGTTTGCAAAACAAAATGTTTATCTCTTTAAACCCCTGAAGTTTGAACGGACGCGATGTTATCATGCTGGACTGCGGAGTGAACGAGCCTATAATAATAGTACGGTCAAACATTCGTGGTGCAACTTATTTGTCAAATATCTCCTCAACTATAGAACATAGGTTCTCCAATTTTTGCACAATTACTTGTAACAATTTGTCTTAACAGATCAACATTTTTGTAAACATATGTTGGCTGTATTCTAGAAGATCCTTAATAAATACTAATAACCAAAGAAAATGGGTGGTTTCTACACATTTTTAAATGTTTACAGTTGTGGCAATATTGCTTTTAATAGCACGTCCGTCATGTATTTCTAATCGGGACATTATGTTTATTTTAATTGAACGCATGTTTTGATAACCGTTAGTGCAAAAAATGAGTTCACTATAAAAATAATTTTTTGGTAAATAATTTTGCATGTAAAAATTGTCATTGATGAGCTGTGACGTAGGCCATATGCGTAATCAAAATGTGTGTGAGAAGCGGGAAGTGCTGTGAACAATACAATGTTACGTGTGACAAAGTTTTCAATTTCAAGTATTTTATATAAATTTATGATGGAAAGTTTTTTAAAACCTAGCCCAAATTGTTCTGAAAAAATATAAATTAGTTAAGATAAATTGATACAAACTGCTGTGCAAAGTATGGATGACACTGATTCCCCCGTTAAAGGGATAATTTGGGGACAAGTTGCACCACGAAATTTTGACCACACTATAGTGTAGAATCCATAACAGTGTGTTTTGAACTAGGGTTGTTTTGGGGACTTCTCTGATTTGGTTCGATTCTAGGGCTATAGGAAAAATTCGGGGGTCTCGTCTCTTAAATAGCTTTACAGTGTTAAAAGACGCGTACAATTTCAAAGTTTGAACAAGTTGAAAGTTCGCACGTTGCTCGGAAATGATGTACAAGTGTGCATTGCGCGTCTCACGCACCGTGGCGCCGCGAGGAATTATGGGTTGCCCTGTTATTAAAAGTAGAGTCCGATAACATTGTACCAATTCCGAGATAACAGCTCACTGGAACCTTTATAAAGCGAAACGCCGTCGGAGGATTTTCAGGCTAGCGGTCAATGGGCAAGAGCGTCTTATTTCTTTCCCGTACTCCCGTCATTAACTGGGACATATTATACGACTTTTTTTGTCATCCAATTTCTAGAACTTTTTCTTATCAGCTGACTATTGATACTACTACTTTTTCAAAAGTCGTACAGACTTACCAGTTGATCTAATACATTGAAGAAAACTCTCGAAAGGTAAGTGTCAAGAATACCTTTTTAAATTATTGAGGATTAGGGGGGGGGGGGGTGTTTCTAAACGATAAATTGAAATCAAACATAGTATTAAAACTTTTACTTCTTTATAGCCTTTTATATTTCTAACCCTTTCTAAATGATAAATGAAACCAAACCTGAAATTTATAGTTTATAATTCATTTTAAAAAAAAATTTAAGCAATCGGTTGATACAAGCTAAAAAAACCACAATCCGGAATTATGCTCCCTTCTGCACAATCTAGATCATTTAGGATTTGTTTGCTTCGGCCCTTTCAATCAGGATTGCACTGGCCATATGGGATGGCAGCAAAAAAAAAAAATTATACGGGAATCGAACTCACGTTCTGACCTTTACATCACAGATACCTTTGATAGAAATTGATTAATCATTAAAAATTTAAAAAATGTATGCAGTCTTTTAATTGAATAATTGCACCCCCCCCCCCCCCACATCAAAACCCCCCGCTTAATTTTATACCTTCCCCTTACATACCTAAACACTGTCTTCGATTTCTACACCAAAAATGTCGTTTTTCTTTTCGATAATCATGATAAAAGGGATGGAAATGGGTTTAAGATGCCCAAATTATCTACTCGGAACATCAGGGTTATTGCTGTTGATATGAGGTGTTTCTTCTCAACGGACGATAAGCCTACCGTTCGCACCGTAAAGTTTACAATGTATGAGCTGGGTTAATAACGCTCTTACGAGTAGCTAATTAGGCTGACGTTGAAAAAAAAATATTTTAAAAATCAAAGTTATCTTAAGCCCGCCATCGATACAATGAGACCATCCAGGCCAACCCAGTCTAAGAAGACGTCCAAGCAGAAAGATCGAGATACTCGATTAAAATTCTTCTCTCAAGGGAATCGAACTCAGGCCTTCCGTGTGCAACGGTGAGCCGCTTAGTCTATATTAACAAGTTCCTATGTACCACAGATAATATCATATATATTATGAACATTGAAGTGTTGCTATGATACCGAAGCCGGTGCACAGAATAGTTCAGGAAAAAAAAGGTGCCATCGATTTGAGCACACACTGATTGCAGAAAGAGCAGGAAGGACAATATCGATGTTCTCTACTTTGTAACGCCATTTTGTATGGTTTGAGATGTCACTTTTACCTTTTGTTTCTGTCCGTTTATACTGCGAGGTGTCGAAGGGGGACGTAACTGCCGGACGTGGGCCAGGCGTGTTACTTTTTGTATCGTTATAAAATTGTGCCTTTGGAGGGTATCTTTGACTCAATCGATCCATCTTTTTCTTAGTCTCCGCTTTTCCTTGAGTCCATCTTTAAAGCACCGAAAGTTCCCCAATTTCTCCACCATCGTTTGCATTTTCAGATTGATTTCTTTGATGCTATTCTCTTATGCTACTCATGTAATTGTAGCTGCTACCGCGTCTGTTGCTGCTGCTACTACTACTACTACTACTACTACTACTACTACTACTACTACTACTACTACTACCATCATTCCTGCTTCCACTCCTGTTTCTGTAACTGTTGGTGCTCGTGGTTTGCTGAAACTGACTCTAAATACTGACACATTTTTTCCCATCAGAAGTTTCGGGTACATCGTACAAGCCAGCTATTAGACCGCACACATGGCGTCGGTTTCAACGACTCAGAGCTTGGTCGTCCTCGCTGTGGTGACCCTAGCGGTTGGCACTTGGGCAAATCTACTCAACGAGGACTTGCCAGCTGGGACCTGTGTGTGCAGCACGGCTGACACTGCCCTCAACAAAAGACGTGAGTAGGCGTTGTTTGAAGCAAAGATAGCACGTTCTTTGCAGAAACAAAAGAGTTGCTTGAAAGACAAAGAAACAGTGGCTGGGAAGAACATGGACATTTTTCTTAGCTACTAACCTCACATGGTTGAAAGGGGCGTTAAAAGCCCATAAAGAATGTACTTTGACATAATGCCACCTGCTACTGGCTCTTTCCCATGTTTTCCACTCTGTTTATGCATTCTTTTATCTCCATTTTTGAAACCTACAACCATTTCATTAAAAAGTTCCAAGCGCCCGCTTCTATCAAAATTGATATTTAGTAGAAGTCATCTAATAAGGGGGTTTAAAAAGGTGATATACAATATTTTGATCTATATTTGCATCGTCTTCTTCAGTTTTCTGAACTGTTTACTTATTCCAAGGAAAATTCAAAAGTAATTCCTACCAAACTGAAAATGCGCGCCTGTATTGCATTGTGCAGCTGCGAGTGCCATAAAATACTTATCAGAACTAACACAAAAAACCCAAAACAAATGAAACTTGAGTTGATGTGGTTCCTAGCCACGCTTCTTTGTACTTGACCTTTACCAAATTTCCTTCCAGCTGGCTTTGTGCATCCTGCAGTCATGTACCTACTTCACGACAAGTGTTTGCTCACCCACGGAAACAAGACGGAGATCTGGGGTGACGCTTGGTACACAATAGAAGTCGATGAGGTATTGATTTCCTTTATATTATTGACATTTGACGTTCTTTCGGATGAATTCTGTTTATTCCATTTTTGTTGAAATTGCTCAGAAGATGACCGAGCTATTGCCATTTAAATGGGTCCTCTTTTTTGACACCCAATAAATACAAATATGATAATATACCATATTATATTTACGTATATATTTATATAGCTGCTCTTGTGTATTCCACTGCTCTGAGTGTACAATGAATGTGTTGTGTACTTGTGTGCATGTGCGTGTACGCACAGGTGAGTGTATGTCTTAGGCAAAATCTTGAGTCTTAATTTGATTGATACTTCGAGAACCTTTGTGAGGTGACATGTGTCAAACTGTAAACATGCTAAGTTGGGTTTTTTTGTTGTTGTTGTTCAAAAGCATCTTTGTTTTTTATGACATGTGATGATAGTATATTATAATGTGGTGGTTTTTTTTTCAATTTGACAGGTGCTCTGGGGTGCAGGCAAGACTCTGGCTAAAGGAGCCATCAGACAAGGTATGGTTTAGCATGCAATTGTAGATCATGTTTTTCACCCACATCGGCATAGTTTAGATCATCTAAGAGACGGTCTGTTTTGACCTGTGTGTCAGGGCCAACACGGACTGCAAACGATACAATGTCTGAGCAGACAAACGGAGATATTTGATTCTTATAAAAAAATCTCTCCACACAAGAATCGAGCTCACGTCTTCTGCTTGTGACAGCGAAGAGTCTTATAATAGCTTCACTATAGACACCAATAACGTGTATTGCTTACATCCTCTTAGGTTCAACTAACGTGGACGATAGTTTTTCATCTTAATGATGTGCCTTAGTTCTAAATAGACAAAAATTACAATTTCAACAAATAGTTTTTATAAAAACGAAGCAACATTTCAAACAGACATACATAATACATAAAGCATTCTAAAGCACATGCACGCATATGCACGCACGCACATGCACATACACACTCGCGCGCGCGCACGCGCG